TGCGTCTTGTCTTCTTTGGAACACTGTCCACCCTCCACCATCTGTTTGCATATCACATCTGACTTGGAAAGATCCAAGGCCATCAGGGTTGATAGTGTAAACACCATCTCTTCTTCGACCGGATTTGTACAAACTTGAACAAATTGTCGCGGGAGTCGCTGTTGTCGAGATAGGTTTGCCTGAGGTGGGTTGAACTAATGGAATAAGAATGTGTTGTCAAGATGTAAATTGCAAAAACTGTTCAGAGCAAAATACCTAGGATAAACATTTTTCAAAGCAGTAGACGCTATTTAATGAATTTTAGACACGTTTTATGAAAGTCTGAAAGCTACAGATTTGAAATATTATGTCATAGAATAAATTAAGAAGTTACACGTACGACTCCGTTTTGAAAGAATTACAAAACTGATTGGTCCTAACAAAATTGCCCCCCCCCGTGATTATACTGTCCGGCTTAGGTTTGCAGGGAGCAACTGCATCTGAAGCCTATAGATAAATGTTTACCATGAAATCCTCACATCAAACAACCAAATTAGATCTTTTAATCTTAGTATAACTATACCACATGTTCATACTTTATGTTCATACTTCATACTATAAGTTATCGAAGTCAAATAACATTGTATAAATGTTGAATTTTTATTATAATTTGAATTTAAGGGACTAAATGACGATATAAAATAAGCGTATTACCCACCTTTGTCCTTGATATGATCGGCGTTGACAGTCTTGTTTACCCTTCCCAACTGTGTTTTGAGTTCAGCCAGATTTTTCTCGAGTTTCGCAAATTCTATATTAAGCTAAATGGTAGAAAATATCAAGATATTAGTGTCGTTGTAATGCCTCATTCTGCTTTCTCACTAGCTGTCCTAAGTACAACTGAAATCTTAAAATAATTTTACTTTCCTTTTTTTCAACCTGTTCCAACCTTGGTTTCATCATTTCCGCATTGTTCTCCTAAATTTAAACTTCATTAAGCGATTTTAAGCAATTTAAGAGAACTCGCTCAATTGTAAGCCGCAATTTAACGCGAGTTTAGGCGGTTTAAGGCGATTTAGGGCGAGTTCCCGCTGCAGGGCAGGCCTCATCTAGATTCATCTTAGTTTATATTTTTAGTTCATAATATACCGATAGTTGGCAAAGACTGCTAACGATTGAAAACAATTCATGCAAGCGAAATCATAGCCTTTGAAATGTGCAAAAAGCACCAAAACGAGGCTAGTCATTCTGTTGAATCTAGAAGAAGCTCCGATATTTTCAAAATTTCATTTCTCAAAGACATCATATGGTATTATATTTAGGCTATCTTTAAAGGGGGAACGGGGAACGGAGGAACGAAGATTCGAGGAATGGGGGAATATATCGGGGAGTATCATATTACCCCTTTATAAAGAGATATTCCCCGAGACATTCCCTCATTCCCCGATATTCCCCATTCTTCCATTCTCCAATTCCCCGTTGCCCCTTTTAAAAGTCTAGCCTTATATTGATATAAATTACCATTACCATTACCAAAGTATTCTGTAAGGCGGCACTTATTCGCACGATTTTCAGTTCCCTAAACTTAAGTTCTCTCAACTAAGTATCGTTCCACATTCATATTCCATAGACCCAACGGCTTAGCAATTGCGAAAAATGTTCAATTTGAATATCAAGATTTTTTTAACTTCTCGCTCGATTCAATAGATTCAGAAGTATCAAATACCGGAGAGGCTGGAAATTTGCGGGAGTTTGCCCATAAAATCTCATTGTTGGATCTCCAGGACTGGTTTTCTTGTGTATTCTGAAATAAAGTTTTGGATATGTAACTGACTCCCAAATTGACTGAGTTTTTGCTACAATATTCTTCGAGTCAATGTGAATATGATAATTTATGAAATATTTGTAAGAGGGGGGAAACGTTCTACTTCCGACTGTCTAACTGTTGTCTTAAGATTTAGGTTTTTGTTTAATTTTAACCAGTTTTTGGCATGGGAAAATTTAAACCTTACGTTTTTAGGTCTTCCAAACTTGGCAGGTCTGCAGGATGTTTAATTATGAACTGGAGGGTATATCAAAGTCAATGTTACCTTATTTTCTTGACCAATCACATTCCATGTTTGATTGGATCTTACATAAAGTTTCTGGGTGTCCTTGCGGTATTCCAGTAATCCTGGCACGGGCGGCACTTTCTGGGCAGTGGCCCTATCTGGGACAACAACAATCTGTAAAGGATTGTAAAGCATATATACGGAATAGAACTAGGCATATTTAGTTTGTCCAGTTCTATAAATGAGTGAGATCAATGGTTTCAATTGACCTGCCAGTGCTAATATGAAAAAATATTACGCTTCATTTATGTTTTATGTTTAGCCAGTAAAATGAAGAATAACTGGTTATAAAAGCATTTTGTGTAAATTTGAAGCCGATTTTCAAAAATATAATTCATGTTTGACCGCGATTTCGAACGGGCCTTCAAGTTTCTCTTCAAATTTCTCTTCAAAGTTGGAGGTAGTTTTCCAATTATATTCATTACACTGTGTTTAGCATATCAATGCCTTACACCATCGTCCAGAAGAATTTCATTCCGATCACATCGACCCTAAAAAGACACAAAAAATTATGTTTTTTTAGGCTCCATCCTTTATTGACTACTTCTATTTCAAAAGTTAACAAAAACAATCCACAAACCCAATGTTTATTTAGCATTGTTAATAGTTATCATCATAGAAAAAAAATGAACGAAAAGTGAGAACCAACCATCACTGGAATAGAATTTCCATTATATAACTTGTACCAAACCACTTTCCCTTGAGAAACAGTCACTTTATACTCCATACATTTGTTCCAGACTCTTTTTGGTAGTGATGATCTCACCCAAAACCATGTATAGACATTCTTCACAAAAGTTCCACCATTTTTAACACTGCAATCAGTACCACAGTAATTTTTCTTGCCACCAACAGGACCAAAACAACCGCAACACTAAAATGGTAAGAAAACTGATATCAAATTTTAGTGGTGTCTGTGGTCAAATTTGCAGGTCTGATTAATTTGTTCCAGCTATCTGGGAGAATTTCTCATTCAACTGATCCGGGTTTTAGGGTTTGAAATGAAATGAAATGAAATCTCATTCTTATAGATCATTATTAGAGTCAACGAATTTAATTTTGACTAAGTCCTAGGACTGAATTAATTATTTAAAAAATGCATTGCTTGGATTATTCTCTATTGGGCTGGATCAATATACTTCAAAAACTCTCCGGTATCATATGCAAGCAAAATAAAGCAGTAAATTAAGTAATACCATTTGCCAAATTACTCATTATTTAATATTAATGACGTTTTGCTTTTAAGGTTACCTCGGATTATAATCAAATATAACCAAGACTCGAAAAGAAACTTACTTTGTGGTTTTCACAGCCAACAAATGAGGTTGACTCATGAGTGATTCCCGAAGTGATATTTCCAGACGCACTATAGCTGTAAAAACATGATTCAATGTCCAGCATTAGATCATTGTATTACCGTGATATGTGCCTATACGTTGAAAGCCCCAACACTAATAATTATTTTTTTATATTTACCTAAAAGCTCCTGAAAAGTCCATTTGAACTGGATACTTTGTGTGGAAGGCAAAGCCAGGTGAACATGGACTGTTCAAACAATTGTTCAACATGTCCTATAACGAATTGTGATCATGTATAATATATAATTTTGACATCTTTAATTCAAAGTTTCTTAATTCTCGAATTTAGAAATATTTGGATTCTTAAAAAACTTACCCAACCATAACCATCTGACTTGGAATGATAAGAGCTGAATTGTGAACAGCGAAATTTTGTTGTGACAATTTCCTCTGTTTGAAGATCTTTAACATAAGAAATATCTCCAATTCCAGGCCATAATCTACCACACCCTCCTTTATTGAGCATCAAAAGATTCTTTAAAGCGCGTTTGTTTTTTAGTCTGAATGACCTATACATGCAGTTATGAAAATAATTTTAAAGCGCTCATCATACATATTTATATCGTACATATTCATGATATCACTATTACCATAATCCATGAGCATTATCATGATTATTTTTATTACGTATCCACAATGACCATCATCATATTTTACTATAAAAAAACTTATTTCCCCTACGGCTCTAACGTTTTCTTTATTTTCACTAAACGGTTATGATTGCGTGTAAACACTGAAAAGAATACTCCTCAACATAAAACAACATTTTGCACAGCAAACATAAGACTGAAATTTTCTTGTTATTAATGCACCCACCAATGAGCTTTTGTTGCACTGAAATCTTCTTGTGTTGCCATTTGAACTCGAAAATCGACGATTGGAGCATCACCAAGTGAGCTCGACCAATGAGGTTTGCCAAATGGTTCAACTGTCTTGTTATTGGATGGTACTGTCCACGTGACCGCGTTTGTTTTACGTCCAATTAACACCCACCCTCCTCCGTCAGTGCTCATGTCACAATACGCCTAGAACAAAAAGTGTTGTAGAGCAAAGTCGTAAACTTTATCATGATCATAAACTGCAGGAAGCAGGGCTAATATATAGCAGTACCTTTTTTGGAACATTTCCAGATAATTTGATCCAATAAAACCCAGCCATTGCCCCAGAGATTTTGTTGAGAGCATCTGAACAGTCATATGCAGGATTGAAATACTCTCCCGTTGGGTTGGAACCTTGTAAAATTCGTACGCAAAATCATGATTAGTTTGTGAATAGACTGTGTACTATTTTAATATTGCACTCTTGCCCCAATGGCTTCGTTTTCATGTTGCTATTTTCTCATGTTTCGTGCACAATTAATACGGTTAAGGATAGGTTTTTGATTGGGCTCAAGATCAAAGAGAAACATATTCATGCACGAAGAAACATGGGGATATAACCTTCATGTTCGCCTGTCATACTAAAACAAGCAAACATGGAAACAAGGCTATAATGGTAAAAAATGCAATAAACAGTATTGATAAGTGTGTCAGTTTGCAGTGACATTAATGCAATATGACACCTTACCATCAGTTGCTTTCCAGACATAAACTTTATTTTCTTCAGCACAAACCAAAAGTTTGTCATTGTCCACCCGATTTTTCACCATGATTAACTTGCCATGATTCGTTTTATTACATTTTCCAGGATCATAACCGCGAAGACTGACTTTCTAGAAAAGTATATCCACTACATGACGTATATATTTAACTGCAACATAATCGGCGTGTGATATTTCAGCTAGTCATATAAAGCATCATATAGCCAATGCTTTATAAGATGCATAAGTCTTTGGAAAGAGTAATTAATTTGTGACTGTGAGTACCAATATGTGGGCTCAAGTCAGTAAGACTCAGTATAGAATAACATGAGAAAACTACGGATTGAGAGTGATTCAAATACCTAAAAATCATGAGAAGCAAAACGTCGCCGACTCGACGTTTCGAGCGAAGGCCTTTCGTCTGGAAGTTACTGAGTGTGAAATAACTTACCTCCAATTCAGCTGATGCGCTCAACCACAGGTGGCTGAGTGAAGACCACACGACCAAGGTAACGAACACTGAAATATACATGGTGAATATCCTAGAAAATAATTAAAATTTAATCAACTGGAAGACATGTTTGCAAAATGGCAAGCTTGTGTATGACAAAGTAAAATTTGTATCTATTTTTATACAATACATTGGCATTGCTCTCAGAGTTTTACACTTCAGAACTCGAGAATCATGCGCATTTGCACGCTTGGTATATAATAGGTGGACAAAGTCAGATTAAGCTGCAGTGTTAAATAGACGTATTATGAAAACCGAGTGAACTGATAAAGTGTAGCCTGTAGGTAAGGTTTGAGATGTTAAATTTGAGAGGCTAGAAACGTTATAATTCTGACATCAGCGTATCATTTAAGCTAAATTGACTTACCGTTGTATACAAAGTTCCCACCCTGTGCTCTCTGCTCTGTAATATTATGTACAGTTGATTCAAGAGTCTAGTATTGCAACCTCATGTAGACCGGATGATGCAGTGGCCTGACTAAATTTGGCAATGAAAACAACATCCAGGAGTGAGTGCGGTAAGATTATCTGGTTATATATCTTTGGTGATAAAAGATTTGCTCTGAAGCGCCGATAAATAATTAGTTCGGATGACAAACATTCAGCAATTTTTACAATACCCAAACTATTCTTTGTATTATTATAACTGTAATGAAAGTACCAACACTCAATGGTTGATATTGCCAATGTGCTACAGGCTACCGGCCAGTACAAAATGACTAATATTGGTAATATTAGTAATAATATCTGGCGGAATTTTTAATCATGGTGAGTGTTTTGTCTAGAATATGTCACGCTTACTACTTCAGTAATTTTTTTTTTAAAGAACTTTATTGGGCCATTAACAACTTTAATTACAATAATTACACTAACAAATAATTGGGCAAATATACACTAATTTAAAATAACAACAACAAAAGAACCCAATTGGGAAAAGTGCGAACGGGACTCTGAGTCCCATGCGGGGCACTTCCCCTAAAAAAAGTAAGTTTATGTCCTATGGCAGGAGCAACCACGCACGAGGGTCCATGTACACGGTTGATCAACATAAAAAATTTGAGTATTTAAATTATGATACATGAGTTTGATTGAACATTTGAATGTTGAAAGACTCGACAAACTAGAAGGGGGAAGTATTTTACAGGTTGTGTTCCATAGTTTTACTATTCGATTAAAGTAGGACGCTTGGAATGTTCTGGTTTTATAAAAAGGAACTTTAAGAGTTAGAGATGGGTTTTGACTAGGTCGGGTGAGATCACTATTGACAAAAGAAACAAAATCATAAACGTTCAAATTTAAATGTCCAAATAGCGCCTTGTAGAAAAAATTCCGGCCTCAAATTCCAATTATAATTATAGCGCCTTGTAGAAATAATTCCGGCCTCAAACACATGTACCGCACACGCTCTCTGCACGTAACTAGTAAGGCAAAAGTTTCAGGGAAAGGTTATTGACAGGACTTTTCCCTCGAATCATCTTAATCGAAATGCAGTCAGTTAATTATTTTACATCTTGGGCTTCATCACTGATCTCAAATCTGATACTGGATAGTGCAGCCTCTATGCATAAATCAAGTTGATGGTAGTCGTGTTGGTGTGACCACTGAAAATTTACTGTGTCTGTGGCGCTGTTGACATGTTAGAAGAGGTTCCAGGATTTTCTAGTTTTTGGTAGGAAAGGAGAAATAATGTCTAGATAGATAACGACCATGAATGATATGTTCTCTCTTCTTAATGTGCGAGTGAGGTTACACCGATCACGAGTCTCATTGTTTTCAGTTTAAAACGTCATTAGAACTAACTTTTCTGAATCCTGCTGTCAGCTGATGTAAAGAGCCGTAGCCTTTGCCGTTTTGGTTTGCATGCCAGTGCACATGATTGGCCCGTGCCATATTGTTGGAATGCTAGTGTACGTCAGATTTTTTTTAAGAGTTTTAGATCGTAAATAAGCAGCATGAGCTCCACCTTTGAATTTACTATATGAGTAAATTCTTAACCACGTCCGAATTTATCATTATGATAAATTCGCGGCACATTTTGAATTTATCATAATAATAACACTAACCCCAACCTTAACCCCTAACCCTAACTTTTTTAACTTTTTAAATTTTTTTAACTTTTTAAACGTTTTTAAAAATCTAACTTTTTAAACTTTTTTAAATTGCTTTTTAAAACTCTTCTATATATGAACTTTTTTAAAACATTTTTAAAAACTATTTTTTTAAAAAACTTGAAAATCCCCCCCCCCCAACTGGGATACAAAAGTGCAAAGTTTTAGTATCTGTGCCCAGTTTCTGGGTTTTAGTATTCACGACACGTTTTAGTATTCAGGACGTACCTATACAACTGTCAACTGAGTATCCAGGAGACCCGCGATGTCTCTGCCATTTATACAGGTCGACGTCAACAGAAATTTAGGCTATACAAAATATCCCTGCATACGTAAACAAAAGTGTAAAGAAGTTGCCTGTCAGTATTTTCATTCAGCCAACGACTTCATGCTCGAAGTATAAGTCTGGTTAACAGTCTTTTGTGGACGTTTAATTCCAAAATAAGTGAAGGCTACTAGCATTAGCCAATTTGTCCAACTGTAAAGCGCAAATAAACACATGCATAACTAGTCTACAACGGGCAGTTATTAAAACTATACGTTGTGTAGTTCAACCCTACCTTCTTACATGGTGGGGGGAGGAGGCTATAGCCCCTGTCGGGGAAGAGACTATATATGTTTTGTAAGCTGCGTGGTTTGTAGTCGTGATAAACAAACTGTTGAAGACTATTCTGGCGAATAGTATCTTTCATAGACTCGAGATTCAAACATTTTTCGGGGAGCATCCCCCCCCCAAAAAAAAGGTTTTTGTCTGTACGAAACCAACCCCCTATACTGTCGGGACCGCCATTGTTGAAATTCCAGGGATAAAAAATGTAATGTGTAAATTTATGTCTGTAGGATTAGTTTTCAAACAAACAAATTCATATAAAATCCAGTCATGATCCCACAAACTCTTACAACTGTAGTGTTATTTTCATCTTTGAACTATGGTATAGTTTTAGCAGATACAATTATTATATACGATATATGCTTTGCTTAGAGTATCTATATGTAATGCAATAGCTTCTAAGAATTTAAGAATCTCTCGTTATCTAGTCACTCAGTGCATGATGACCTAGCATTTCTCACGACCGATCTTCCCGCCATTTTTGGCTACTGCCTTTCCCACGGTTGGGAGTCTCCGCACCACGAAATGCGACTTTTTAATTTTATAGCGGTTTGTATCAGAGGGTTTGTATGATGGTAAATTTGCAGTTAAAACTTCTGAAAGTTGCTTTTCACGTTGTTTGAATTGTCTAGAATCTTTCACGGGGGCAGACAGTACCCCAAAAATGTCGGATTTTGGCCTTCGTAAGACTAATTAAGTTTTTTTTTGTCACTACACAATTGTTCAGTGTGTGTTTGAGAAAAAAACGTGTTCCTGGGATTTCTAAAATCTCGCAGGGCGTATTTTCATCTCAGTTTTCTTCATAGATCTGTTGTCGTTTTTCCAATCTACCCATCTTACTCCTGACACAGATCTCACCCCTGCCTTTTGGTAGCGACCGCTGAGGTTGGAAGAGTGACATCGATGGTACCACCAAGCAGCTTTGTAGTACTTAGCGCAGTTTCTGTCGCCATGTCGATCGTTATCTCTGTTGTAGGTAGAGAACTTCATTCCGTTGTGCAATTTCAACGAATCACCAGCATTACCTTAGATATAAAACTTCCTTAAAATAATTGGAAGTTTGTGATTTTAAAGTATGTGACACCTTCTGCTAAAAGTTTAAAATGTCTATAATAATATATCATATCAACAAGTTTAAACATATTTTAATGTTTTAAGTCAGTGTCCGTGGTTTTCCCAAATTCGACCTTTATAATTTCATAGCCAGTATTTGAATAATATCATTATCTCTATATCGTATAATTACAATATCATTTTCTCCATGTCGTATAGTCACGGAGAAATTGTGAGTATATGGCGCACGTTTCACTCTGCCGATATTTTTCACGTGACTACGTTTTAGATAACATGGATTTGTGTCCGAAATTGCGTTGCTAGATGGAGCAAAAGTTGTCTCCTGTAACATGACCTTAAGGTATAGAAGTCCCATCCCTGGCTTCGTCACTACTTTTACTGGATTTTATGAAAAAATTATTTATCAAATCATATTTACCTGAAAAACTACCCAGGTCCAGTCTATAACCGTTAGACTCAGACGCCACAGAAAATGATCCATACTTTGCGTACGCTGTTTCGTTAGTCCAATCCATCAAGTCCACTCTTAGAACATTTTGTCCTGATTTTGTCAAACGATGTATTTCATCCAAACCAAGCCAAAAATTACCGTTAAGATCACCAAAACCACTTTTGTAATCTTGCCATCCACGATAGAAATTTACACTTGCGTCTTGTCGCCTTTGGAACACTGTCCACCCTCCACCATCTGTTTGCATATCACATCTGACTTGGAAAGATCCAAGGTCATGAGGGTAATTGACAGTGTAAACGCCATCATATCTCTTTCCAGATTTGTATAAAGTTGCGCAACTTTCCCCTAAAACTGTACGTTATAAAAGTAAGAACATATAGAGCAGAAGTTTTTGTAATTCTTTGTTAGACTGTTTTGTAAATTTTCTGGTAGCTCCCATTGTTGTCGGAACAAAGCAGGATAAATGTTACGAGCAAATCCCCGCTTGCATGCATCGAACAACCAAACTGTAGATCTTTAAACCTTGGTCATGCTTCATAGACTATCTTTATAATCTTATACGAAGGATACAAAGACAACTGATCGATTAAACAATCCATTAATTTAATTCTGGGTTATTTTAACCATGATTAATGGTATGCTATAATTTGACCCATAACTGCTAATTGCAAGTTTAACTTTCAAAGTCAATTATCAGTTTTGGTTTGTATAAACACGACAGTAGTTCAGAAGAATGAATGCTAAAGAATTTTACATTATAAATGTAGCAGAGCTTATTATGATAATGCAAGAATCATTTGCATTAAAAAAGAATGAAACAAAATGAGCGCATTACCAACCTTTCGGCTTCATGACATTGAGAGACTTGTTCACACTTCCTAGCTGTGATTTAAGTTCAGCCAAACTTTTCTTGAGTTGTTCAAAATCTGTTTTATGTTCATTGGTTACCTGTGCAAGATATTTATATCAGTATACATTGCAGTGCATACAACTTTTTATTTCAATGCAAAAATTAATCTATTGATCACCTAAAAAAATCGTTAAATGTAGGTCATATAAGATACTGATGTCTGAAATAAGGAATTAATGATAATCAACGAAACATGTACGAGAATTCGAAATTAAAAATAAAACTGTTTTTATATAATAAAAATGGTTTACTATGGAGAAATAACTTCAAATAAGTGCTGACTGTAAGAATAAAACATTCTAATGTTCGAATAATTTTCCTTGCCTTTTTTTCAAGTTGTTCAAATCGTGGTTTGATCTGTTCCACAGCTTTTCCCAACACCTAAATTAACCAAGAAGAGGATTTTATTTCGTTAATTTTTTACAGTTACATTTTTCATTCATCACGAGAACGTTGGGTGCCCAGGATGTTAAGTATGGATGGTACATCAAGGTCAATGTTACCTTCTTTTGTTCACCAATCACATTCCATGTTCCATTTGATCTCACATAAAGTCTCTTGGTGTCCTCACGGTATTCCAATAACCCTGGCACGGGCGGTACTTTCTGGGCAGCGGCGCTATCTGGGACAACAACAATCTGTAAAAGTATTTGATAAAGAACTAACTGCAATTATGCTGACACTGCAGTGAACAACGAAACCTTCGTTGTCTGAAGCGGGATTCGAACTCACATTTCCGTGCGTCCAGACCGTCGCTCTACCCATTGAGCCATCGAGTCAACGGGGATTGGTAACTGGTTTGTACATCCGAAGTTGCGAGTTCGAATTCCACTTGCGACAACGAATTTTTCGTTGTGTTCTGCTGTTTCACAATAATATATATGAAACTAGACTTTCATATCTCTGAGGATGGTTCCGAATTATCAGAACTAGCATATCATGTAATTTTACGTTTAACACGTCAATGCCTTACCCCATCGTTCAGAAGAGCGTCATTCTGAATACATCGACCCTAAAAAGACACAGAAAGTGATGCTTGTGGGCTCAGTTCTTTATTGTCTACTTTTATCTCGAAAGTCAGTAAAGAAAACAGTCCCCATATCCAATGGTATTACTAATATTCATCATTGTTAATGGTAATCATTAAAGAAAGAAATTGAAAATAAGTAAAAAGTTAAAAACTGACCATCACTGGGACAGTATTTCCATGATATAACTTGTACCAAACCACTTTCCCTTGAGCAACAGTCACTTTATATTCCATACATTTGTTCCAGACTCTTTTTGGTAGTGATGATCTCACCCAAAACCATGTATATAGATTCTTTACAATGGTCCCACCATTTTTGGCTCTGCATTCAGTACCACAGTAATTTTTCTTGCCACCAACAGGACCAAAACAACCGCAACACTAAAGTGTATATCAATTTGTGATGTAAATCAAATCGGATATAATTGGGAAAACATCCCATTCAATCCCATTCTCGTACCCAGAGCCCTTCTTACGCGCGTTCGACCGAGCGCGATGAGGGGCTCTGGCCAAATCCATAACCGGATACCATAAAAACATGGTAATAGAATATATCCGGTATTAGAACAATTGGCCAATCAGATGCCAGTTTGATATGGATTTGGCCAGAGCCCCTCGTCGCGCTCGGTTGAACGCACGTAAGAAGGGCTCTGGGTACGAGAATGATTCAATCCGAGTTTGAGTTTGAAATTAGATCTCATTCCCTCAATGAAAAGAAATCTCATTTACTGCTCATGAATCATTAATTAATGACGTTTGCTTTTGGGTTGCCACGGATTATTACTATAAAATAAAACCAAGAGAAACTTACTTTATGATTTTCACAGCCAACAAATGAGGTTGAATCATGAATGATTCCCGATGTATTTCCAGACGCACCTGTAGCTGTAAAAACATGATTCAATGTCTAGCATTAGATCATTATTTTAGTATATTCAATCGTGATGTGCCTACCTTGAAAACCGTAGCCTGCGAGCAGGCTCGCAGGCTATGAAAACCGCAATACTAATATTTTTTATATTTACCTAAAAGCACCTGAAAAATCCATTTGAACTGGATACTTTTTGTGGAAGGCAAAGCCAGGTGAACATGGATGGTTCAAACAACTGTTCAACATGTCCTATAATGAATTGTGTGATTTTGACAGCGTATAATTCTCGAATTTAGAAATATTTGGATTCTTGAAAAACTTACCCAACCATAACCATCTGACTTGGAATGATGAGAGCTGAATTGTGAACAGCGAAATTTTGTTGTGACAATTTCTTCAGTCTGAAGATCTTTAACATAAGAAATATCACCAATTCCTGGCCATAATCTACCACATCCTCCTTCATTGAGCATCAAAAGATTCTTTAAAGGACGTTTGTTTTTTAGTCTGAATGACCTATACGGTTATGAAAATAATTTTTACTACTTATTAATAACAGTAATCATACTATTATTCATGACATAACCATCACCATGAGGCATTATAATGATTATGTTTATTACGTATCCATATAATGATCATCAATTTACTATAAAACAAAGTTAATCCTCTTGGGGCCCTAATGTTTATTTCATGTTTTGTAACAAAATTGAATTTTTACAAGAAATTTGGCCTTAATACATGTGAGTAACACTATACACAGTGATTATTGCGTGTAAACAGAATACCGCTCAACACAAAATTAAAACAACCTTTGAAAGAGCAAACTTGAGTTTGTTTCGTTATTACTGCACCCACCAATGAGCTCTTGTTGCACTGAAATCTTCTTTTGTTGCTACTTGAACCCGAAAGTCGACGATTGGAGCATCACCAAGTGAGCTGGACCAATGAGGTTTGCCAAATGGTTCAACTGTCTTGTTATTGGATGGTACTGTCCACGTGACGGCGTCCGTTTTACGACCAATTAGCGCCCAGGCTCCTCCGTCAGTGCTCATGTCACAATATGCCTAAAACAAAAAGTGTTGCAGAGCCAAGTCATAAACTTTATTATTATCATAAAATGCAGCAAGCATGGCTGCTATATAGCAGTACCTTTTTTGGAATATTTCCAGATAATTTGATCCAATAAAACCCATCCTTTGCCCCAGAGATTTTGTTGAGAGCATCTGAACAGTCATACGCAGGATTGAAATACTCTCCCGTTGGGTTGGAACCTTGTAAAAATTCGTATACAAAATCATGATTAGTTTGTGAATAGACTGTACTGCATGTTTATTGCACTTTTTCCCCAATGGCCTCGTTTTCATGTGCTTATTTCCTTCTGTTTCGCGCACAATAGGGTTAAGGATAAATTTTTGATTGAGATCAAGACCAAAGAGAAACATATTCATGCACGAAGAAACATGGGGATTTAACCTTCATGTTCCCCTGTCATACTAAAACAAGCAAACATGGAAACAAGGCCATTGGTAAAAAAAATGCAATAAACACTATTCAATAATTGTGTCAGCTTGCCGTGACTTTCTACGATCTTTCACCATGATTAACTTGCCATGATTCGTTTTATTACATTTCCCTGGGTCATAACCCCGAAGACTGACTTTCTAGAAAAGTATATCCAGCATTACGTATATTTAACTGCAACATAATTGGTGTGTGATATTTCAGCTATATCATAAGCACCATATAGCTAATTTATGTTTTATAAGATGCATAAGTCTTTGAAAAGAGTAATTTGTGACTGTGAGTACCAATATTTTGTCTGACTTGGGCTTAAGTCAGTATAGAATAACATGAGAAAACTATGGATTGAGAGTGATTCAATTACCTGAAAAATACAAGCAAAACGTCGACGTTTTGAGCGAAAGACTTTCGTCTAGAAGTACTGGAATAACTTACCTCCAATTCAGCTGATGCGCTCAACCACAGGTGACTGAGTGAAGACCACACGACCAAGGTAACGAACACTGAGATATACATGGTGAATATCCTAGAAAATAATTAAAATTCAATCAACTGGCAGACATGTTTGCAAAATGGCAAGCTTGTGTATGGCAAAGTAAAATTTGTATCTATTTTTATACAATACATTGGCATTGCTCTCAGAGTTTTACACTTCAGAACTCGAGAATCATGCGCATTTGCACGCTTGGTATATAATAGGTGGTCAAAGTCAGATTAAGCTGTGTTAAATAGACGTATTATGAAAACCGAGTGAACAGATAAAGTGTAGGTAAGGTTTGAGATGTTAAATTTGAGAGGCTAGAAACGTTATAATTCTGACATCGGCGTATCATTTAACCTAAATTGACTTACCGTTGTATACAAAGTCTGCACTCTGTGCTCTCTGATCTTAATATGAACAGTTGATTCAAGAGTCTTGTATTTCAACCCCATGTTGACCGGATGATGCAGTGACCTGGCTAAATTTGGCAATGAAAACAACATCCAGGAGTGAGTGCGGTAAGATTATCTGATTATATACCTTTGGTGATAAAAGATTTGCTCTGAAGCGCCGATAAACAATTAGTTCAGATGACAAACATTCTGGAAATTTTACAATACCCAAACTATACCTTGTATTATTATAACTGTAATGAAAGTACCAACACTCAATGCTCGATATTGCCAATGTGCTATATATATCGGCCAGTACAAACTACAAAATGATTAATATTAGTAATAATATCTGGTGGAATTTTTAATCATAGTGAGTGTTTTGTGTAGAATTGAATATGGCGCGCTTACTACTTCAGGTGAATGCGGGCTCAAACACATTGTTTTGTACCGCACACGCTATCTGCATGTAACTTAGTAAGGCAAAATTACATTAAGGCAAAATAGGTTATTGACAAAACTTTTCCCTCGAATCATCTTAATCGAAATGCAGTTAGTTAAATTATTTTATATCTTGGGCTTCATCACTGATCTCAAATCTGGTACTGGAAACGCATTACCAGTACCAGATTTACCATTAACGTAATTAACAATAAAACGGCATGGCCTACCTTGCAGACCCCGTTGAAGATATAAGAAATCCATTACATAAATAATGCTTATAAGTAAGCCACAGAACGAAAGATCCCAGACGCATGTAGAGGTCCCTATTACCTATCCCAAAATTAAAGTAAATCAGAAATAAATCACGTAATATTAAACAAAAGTTAGAAAGTAACGAAATACTTCGCCACAAAATAAAAATAACGAAGTAAAACGTTACTTCTTAAAACGACTTCGTTCCAAGTAAAAGTACTCCAGAAAAAGTTTACTTTGTTACATGCTCACTTCTCAAAAAATATTACTCAAGTACAGTAACGAAGTACATTTACTTCGTTACTTGACACCACTGCAAACGATATGCAATAGGTAATTCCAGCTTTTAGTTTATGGCTGCAGGGGATGATGGGAAGTAAGGTATCATAGTGCTGATTATGGTGAAAAATTTCAATAAAAACTACCGAAACAACCGAAATATTTCAATATTTACAAGTATAAGCTATCACTCTGTTTACACGGTCATCATTTCTATTTTTTCAGCATAATCAGCAATGTGATACCTTACTTCCCATCGTCCCCTGCACACATAAACTAAAAGCTGGAATTGCCTATTAAACCCACAATAGCAAACACCTACACTTAAAACAGATGCAAGATTTACTGCATGCATGCACATGCCGCGATATTTCGATCGTTTCAAGCGAGATGTTCATGGCAAAAGTGTTGTTAATTAAATTAATGATCAGGCAAAAAGAGGAATTAATAGGCATTTTGATGTAAAACTAATTTAAATTATACATTTATTGCGTTTGAACTAACAAAATGAATGAAAATCCAGGTTTTGAAGATCACGCGTTGGCCTATGCATGCACAAAATTTCTTGAAACTTTGATAGCTTGCGCAAGACAGTCCATGCATATTTTACATAACTCTGTGTGATTAAATTTTGTTTCCAATGAATGCTTTTGCGTCGTTTCCAATAAATGCTTTTGCGTCAAGGCCTTTTTTGTTGTTTTTTTTAGTAACAGCTTTCCCACTCTAAAAACGCTAGCATTTTAAATAATTTTAGTGCTAGATGTACCAGAGAAAGTACATATAGGCTTACTGAAAGTTTTCGCAAATGTCGCGCGCACCTAACTTTTATAGTGAACTTTTTCCAACTGAAATCTTTTTATATACACCCTGTATAGTCCATATATTAGTTCAACTTTGTAAAAACATGAGATTTTCTATAAAAATACATGTGCCTTTGTATAAAGTCCTATGTTCTAAAATCCAGTAGGACGTATTTTCATCTCCGTTTTCTTCATAGATCTGGCGCCTTTCCAATGCTGCCAATTCACTCCCGTGTGAGATTGTTTCCCTGCCTTGAGGTAGCGACCATTGAGGTTGGACTTGTGACAGTGGTTATACCACCAAGCACCTTGCCAGTGCACAGCGCAGTTTTCGTTGCCACCTTGATCATTATCTCTGTCGTAGGTACTGAACTTCATTCCGTTCTGATATGTCAACGAATCACCAGCATTACCTTAAATATAAAATTTCCTTAAAATATTTGAAAGTTTGAGACTTTAGTTTAGATGGGGGCTTCGGTGGCGAAGTGGCCTCAGTGAGAACTTTCTCAATGCGACTCGAACCCAGTCCTCGTGTGAAAAGAGTAAAAGCCAACGCTCTGCCGAAAGTCGTGGGTTTTCTCAGGGTACTCCGGTTTCCTCCCACAGGGAAAGTTGACAGGGTGGGTTAGGTAAAAAGGGCCCACAGTAATTGGCATATGCTGTTGTGGTGACCTTGCCCTAGTTGGCAAAGCTAAATAAATAAATAAGTATGTGATACCCTCTGCTAAAAGTTCAAAATGCATATATTATCATATCAACAAGTTTACGACCATTATAATCTCACAGATTATTAAAACATCGCAATACGTGCGTACTATATAGAGGATATTACACAACGGCGCGAAGGTATGACTTTTATCTTCGAGTGGTAAAAACAATATTTTACGAACGAGCGCAGCGAGTGAGTAAAATATTGTTTTTAACACGAGAAGATAAAAGTCATATCTTCAAGCCACCGTGTAATGTTCTGTTTATTATATAGTCTCAAGCAAAAAATTGTGAAATTTCACGCTCTAAAATTTGTGCTCTAAAATTCAGTGTGCTAACTATACTTGTATTTGAAATAAAAGAAGGGAAAAAACGCACAAGAAGTTTAAAAAAATATTAACCATAATTTATCATTACTTATTTTTCACCCTACTCGGTTTCCTTTGTTCTTGTCGGGGAATATATTCAATATCCCCCTCTAATCAATTTCCGTTTAATAATCCCCTCTAATATTCACCTGCAATTAATAATCCCCTCTAATATTCACCTGCAATGTCTTTGCAGCACAAAAAA